ACCAAGGAGCAGGGCCTGGCTTAGGCACACATGGTGAGTCCCCCTTGTGCTAAATCTGCTTGTTGTGGCCTCCTCCAGTGGAACAGCAAATCACATCTGCCAGAGCTCTTCTGAAAGTCTGACAGCTCAGCTTCTTTTTTTGAGGATTAATTATCTCCCTCCTGCCCAATAAAGTAGCTCAGCTCCTCTCTCCTTTGCTCAGATGGAACTCACACCTCCTGCCCTACAGCTGTACTGACATTCACAGGATTGCTTTTTGTCCTTGATCTCCCTCACTTTTTCAAATCCATCTGTTGTCTCATTTGATAAACTTACAGAGACAGGAGGAGTATTTTCACTATCCAAATAAATACAAATAACTACAAAGATAATGAGGGAGAAAGGACCGTTGGCCTCATGTTAAGCCTAAATCACAGCTAAAACAACATGAGCAGATGCAAACTGTAGAAAAACCGAACTGCAGGTAGGTGGAGGGCACAAAGGCAGTCACAAAGGCAGACCTATGTGGAGAACCTGTTTCCTCCCTGGCAAAGACCAGGAGCCAGGATGGGTCGTGGGGTTCAGAACTGGGGAGATCAAAGTCCATAAGCTGTAGAGTACCATTCCCACAGCTCTTGCTTGCAAGGAAGCAGGATCAGTGTGCCTTCCCCACTGCGGACCGTGACGTATAGAGAGTTCAGAGCCACTCACAATAAGGAGCCCAGCTCAGAGTTGGCTTGTAGACAATGTTCTCCTGCTGTCCCACAGGGGTTCAGGCTTTGAGTGCCTTTCCTCTTCTCATCATACCTCTTTCAATGCTGTCTAGATCTCTACACAGTCCAAAGCTCTCCTTTTTCCCTTTCTCATCCTACCCACCAAAAATCCTGTTCAGACCCTTTTCCTTATTTCCCCCTTAAGAATCCATTTTTCATTTTTTATTTATATATGTACACACACATACAAAGCCAAAAATAAAAAGCTCCAGCCACATCTGATGTCACAGTAAAACATAGCAAGCACTTCTCATCACCCAAGTGCCACAGTGAATTGAGCTTTATTTTCTTTGCTTCCCTTTCCACCTTGCAATGGTAAATATCTGCTCTCTAGAATACCTACACAAAGCAGTTGTCAGAAACGCTGTCAGAGTTGAGGAGAAACCTTTGAGAGTCACACAACAAAAATAGGAAGAAAGGTACAAAAGGAAGCTTCCAAAATATGTACAGCTGAAAACATGAACTAGTATAATACAGATCATTACTCTAGACTTCTAGGATCACTGTACTATGCCAAAAACTTTATCGACATGTCTAGGCAACGTGAACTTCTGTGAGAGTCTTACAAGCTAACTACTTCATACCATGACATAGTAATGCCTGGCTGCATGCTTTTCAACTGCAGTTGCAATCTAAACTATGGTTCACCTCTTTTCCAGAATGCATGAACTGTTTTTTGTTTTTTTTTTTTACTGCTCCACAGAAAAGCAACCTAGTGAGAGGAAAAGAGTAGAGTCACCTATAGAATGTGCAGTCATGTAAAACATTCTGGATGGTGAACCACACTAAATCTTTCTGTTAAAACTGAAGTCTAGAGCCTTGTTTTTGTGGATGACACCTTTTCCACCAAAATCCCACTCAAGGGACATCAGAATCAGCTTTTCATAAGAAAAAAGATTTTGTCAAGGACTTCCTCTGCCCTTAGGTCAAAACAAAAAGTAGTTTAACAGCCTGGAACACATCCATCTCTTAGTTTTCAAAAGATTGACTTCATGCATTCAGGAGTTTTTTTTCCACAAATTGGGGCCAAAATCCCAAATATCAACTGCTACACTGAAAATCCCAAGGACTTCCTTTATGCTTTCAGTTGGTGAACTAAACAATCATGCAAGTGGGTTTAGCAAAAGCCATCATCACTTTCCTGTGATCTGGGAAAAAAAGCAAGTGATCGAGTAGCATTTCAGTGCATTCAGATCCTACCACATGATTCTTTCATCCGGCACACACTTTAACAATAACATCTGGCTTCCTCCAAGCCTGTGCATTTCACTATTCCATCTAGACTTCTCTGCCAGGTTAAACAAGATCTGTATGTGATAGTCTTGTATTTAGTCTTTGAACTCCATACTACTAAATCTCTCAAAGATTCAACTATATATGTTATCACAAAAGAGCAGTTCTGAAGAGCAGAACTGAAAATATGCACAAGTAAACCCTTTCTTCCAAGACAACTTTCGGCATATCATTTAATTCTGTGGCACCTATGAAGTGGGACCACTCAAAAATGGAGGAGGCAAACACCTTAGTGTGCAGGTTTAGCATAAGGGAGCTGCCTAACAAAACCATGTGCAAGAATTTCATGCAAACAGATTTTTATACAAACAGAGCAGCCTTATGATCTTATCTACAAGATCACTGTGAGTAGATTATATAGATAAATGACTATTTGAAGCGACTGTGCAACATAATTATATTCCAGTTGTACTGAAAGATGTGTGGTCCTTTCAGAAATCGTGTTTCTGACATTCTTCAGAAATTGGAGGACTCCTCAAAACTTTCTCAAAAAGTTACTCCAGATGACAGGAGGTTACTAAGAATAATTTTTTAGCCTAGTACAAACAGAAATCTTAAGCTATAAATCTTCTGCATGGGATTACCATGTGATTAATTAGAAGAAAATAGCATCCGCATACTTGGACAGCAGAACAAGTGCCAGAAATTTCATACACAGTAGCTTTTAAGCAATTATAAACAAAATATAAATACAGATATAGATATCAGAAGGAACTGTATTCCCGACATACCAGACTTGGATCTCCATAAGCAGTGTCTGGTATTTTGCTCTACAGTGGCATACACATAAAGGCCTTGAATATTCATCTGTTAAACAATTTCTCAGGTGAGACACTTTCATCTCTTCATCCACGCCCTTGCATCTGCTGCACTGACATGCAGCAGGATGCTATTTTCAGACAGGCTTTTGGGCCATGCCTTGGCCTATGCAGGTTCCATCCTTCTGGAAGCTTCAGTAGGGGCACATCAGCAATGCAGTTCGGGTCACCAGGCTGCTCCCTCCCTCAATTACCAGTGAGCTCCAGGGAGGCTGGTGTTTAGTATGGAGGTGACTCTCTTTCTCAAAGCCTTTTCATTATAAAATTTCTTTCCATAAATAGAATTGCTGGGTCACTCCTAAATCTTACTCCCTGCCTTCTAAGTAAAAATAGCTTGAACAGGGAGGACAGGAAGACTTTTTCATCTCTGTCATCCTGTCTGTCCATTCATGTACCTTTCTTCCCTTCCTCAATATACATCATCATATCATCATATCTGTTGCCCACTCCATTATATTAAACGTATATTAGTGAACTCTAGTTTTTCTGATGAGTATTCCAATATTCAAACAAACAAACAAACAAAAAACAACAACAACAACAACAAAAAACCTTATTAGATAAGAAAAACTTATTAGTCAATAGCAGTACCAAAAAAAAAAAAAGTGATTAAAACCCAGGTTGGAAAAGACCACTAAGACCATCTGGTCAGCCCACCTCCTCCATGCCCACTGCCCACGTCCCTCAGTGCCACATCCACATGGCTTTTGAACACCTCCAGGGACAGTGACTGCACCACCTCCCTGGGCAGCCTGTGCCACTGCCTCACCAGTCTTGCTAAGAAGAAATGTTTCCTAATATTCATCCTGAATCCATGGTTTGTTCTTAAAGAGGTTCTCTTCAGCATTCTGGAATTGTGTTGTGATAGGTTTTTATAAAATATGTCTTATGTCTTTTGTGTTTTTTTTTAAATAGTAGTTGTTTAAAGAAATGCACATGAAGACTGATAAGGTTCTTCTGAATAATAACAAAGTTGTTTGAAATTTTAATTTCATTGATTTCACAACAAGTTAAAAGAAAAGGAAGTGCTGCTTAAAAAGGATTGTGAAATATCTCAAACTATATTGTGAAACAAGTAATTTAACTGCATACACCTACACATTCACCTTGAAATAATTGAGTATTCTGATCTAAAGCCCTGCATTGCTTAAATGGATTTTTTAATATTTTTCATTTCAGTGACTCAAAAGAAATAATTTCAAAAAAAAAAATCCAATAATTGTACCTTAGAATAATCAAGGTGAATGTAACGATTTTTTTTTCTGCCATCTCCAGTCTTTAAAGTGAAAGTTGGAATTCATGCATTCCCCAGTGTAAAATTTGAAAAAGCCCTAGGCTGACAGACTGAGCCATAGTGTGCTCCGATTGAAATCAGAGGCTAATGATGGTACATTTGAAGAGGCCCTGATTCTACACATTAACTAGAACAAACTGAAGGGAACGGAAACAGCTCTACCTATCTGGTTTGCTCCTCGATTCAGTTCTCAAACTCCCTCCCTCCCCCAAGGACATTTAGTTTCATAGCTTTTTGCTTGTTATCTTTTCAATGTTTACTGAATAGGTAAAGGAGATTATTTTCACACTCCAATCATCACTGCCCCTGAGAAAACAGCATATTCATGAGGACACTGATCCAGGCAGAGACACAAAAAGTTAAGGTCCAACCTGAGCACAGCTGCTGCTGTAATCAGAGCCTTGCACAAACTCATGTGCTGGAGGAACTTTCCGGATCAGCAGCTCATTAAAACCCACAAGATAATCTCATTTAATGGTATATTATATGACAAAAGTTTACTTTTGAGGACAAACAAAAACTGAAACCAGTTTGCAAACTTTTCTAGATGTAGCATCACTGAAGCAACGCTGCTAAAATAAGCAAGAAAGGAAAACAGTGCAGAGCTGTGAGTTGTTTAACAGGGTTTATGGTTTTGCGTTTTATCATTTGGAGAAATAAATTTAAACTGTTACCAAGAATACTAACACTGTCACACACATCTGCTATTCAGTCCCTATGGAAAGAAGGTGCAGCATCCACGAGTTAAAAGTTCGGTAACCACTTGCAAAAAAAAAAAAAGAAAAGAAAGAAAAAGAAAAAACGATGCAGACAAAACGCCTCCTCTGGGCACGGTGCACTTGCAGCGCTTGTCAGAAACGCTGCCAGACTCGTGTGGTTTGCTGCCCACTAGTGTTGTGCGGCTGCTCACTAACGCCGGCTGGCACCGTTCGGCATAGCGCTCCCCACAGCCCGACTCCATCTCTCCCTGGGCACAACCTGGGCCGAAGGGAAGGAAACGCTTATTTTGAAATGGAAGCGGAGATCTCCAATGCACTCCGATTTCTCAACTACCGCACATTTCTCTATTTGGCATCGGTGATGAATTAACAGCTGTTCGTGGCTGGGGTTCCACCGGATTGCAAACACAATCAGCTTTGCTGTGCAGTCCACGAACACACAGTGAGCTCAGTGCTCTCTGCACCTGCAGTGACATTTCTGAAGTGAGGGTTTGGCTTACAGTTCCACGTAAGCTATGCTCATAGCACAGCATGTTTCTACAAGGACTTGAGAGACCATTTGCTCTCTTCCTTAAATGTTTCTTTTCTGACACCATTTTCTTTGGAGAGTGCTACTGGCACCTCGCTGCCCTCCCCGCTCCTCACCAGCTAACCCTGCTCCCAGCTCTGTGCTGAGCTCCTTTCTTTGTGCTCTGCTGCACTATGAAAACCCATATGACTGGGCACAGTGGGGGAAAAGGGACGCGTACGCTTTGGACTTAAAGATCCAAACAGAAAATTGCTTAAGGGGGAATTTATTTTTCGTACTATCTGTACTGCATTGAGCATCTCTTGATGCTCCCTTCATTTCGGCAGAACAGCACCAGACACTCAGCACACGAAAAACGTAGCCAGAGAGAAGCCTGCAAACAGGTTCAGCACACCTGTGCCAAGAATTAAACCCTGCTGAATGATACTCATTTTGGAGCAGGACACCCTAATTCTGAGCTAACTTTATCACAGTAATTACAGTCAGGAGATTTGAAGGAGACTACCGCTCCCCTCTCCTGCTCTCCCCTCTGACCAGCAAAATGCCCCCTTCCTGGCTGCGACCAGGCTACAGCAGACCTTCTCCATCAGTGCTGTATAATGGGTGCACGTGCCCCTGGAACACATAGGTGCAGAAACATAGAAGGCAGCACAGGTACAGCAATCCTGAAGGTAACTCCAGGTACTGCTCAGGCTTGTAGCTGAGCATGACTCAGGTTTTCCAAGTGGTGAATTCAGCTGCACAGCTCCCACCGATGCCTGTATCACCCCATGCACAAACCAAAGCTGCAATGCATTTCTGGTTAACAGTACCTGTTTACCTGTATTTTAAGAAACTCACAGCTCTAACTATCTGAAGCCTTTATAAAATCGAAGAATTTTTAACAGGGTATTTGGGAAGGTTTTGTCTCAGGTTTCAGAAATACTAATTGGATGTAACAGCATGTCAGTGTTTTATTGTCCCCAGAAGGAAGCTGCTTTACAGACATGATGCCTACCCAGTAACACCATTCATATCTAATTTGACAAAATGCATTGTGCTGAGTGACTGCAGGGAAATATGGGGGCCAAGCTTGCTATTGTTATTCAGAGAGTTTCCATTATCTTCAGTGGAAACACAGCCCAAGATGACAACTACAGGGTTAAACCTATAATGTGTGAATTTATGTTTTTAAGCTATCTCCCAGCTCAGAAGGGGCAAAAAAAAAAAAAAAAAAAAAAAAAAAAAAAAAAAAAAAAACCACAGACAAAAACAAAGAAACAGAATACAAACATAAAAAATATAACATTTTTAAATTAAAATCAGAATGAGATGTGACACGGTTGAAAACCAAGCATACATGTTCCTGTGCTTCAAGCTAACATAGCATAGCTTTATAAGGAGTTCAGAAAAGGCAATAGCAGAAGCTTCAATAGTACATCCCCCGCCCCCCCCAACACTAAGATATAGTCATAAAAGAATACAGCCTCTCACACAATGGAGTTCAGATACAGATATAGATAGAATAATGAAAATAAATATATATGTGACATTTCTATTTATATACGCAGTCATTTCCTTCAAAGAGATACATATCTGATATGACACTGCATTAAAACCTGAAGTCCTTTAAAAATACTGCTCTCTGACTCGTGACTCTGATCTGGTAGTTTAAATTAAATAAGACTGAACCACTTGGCTTTGTTTATTAGCAGCACTTAACATGAAGGTAGGCGCCATTTTCAAAATTTGCCTTTAGAAAGGTCCCGAATACATTCCTGATGTCAAAACAAAAACACTCAAGTTTGCAAAGGATCACTGACCCCTCCATTAAGTATTCTGTTTTTATCCTAAAATACCATCATACAGCAAGGATTTTATTTTAGCAACCTGGGTCCACAAGCGTGTAAACGTTGCCGTGTGGCACTACAGAATCTACGCAGATGGACGGATCATTTACATTTTGTACTGCTGGAAACAGAAAAATACTTGGAATGCAAATTTGTGTCCGCCTTTGGTCCAAAAACACAAGGATACTGAAAGTGAAATTGCTATTGACTTCATAAATTAGGAGTAAGTGAAAGCAATTTTCATACCACTTCAACCTTACAAAGCAAAAATCATTCTGATTTTCAAAACCTCTTGGGTGAGAGGGGTACTGCCTAACTTAGAACGTGTAATTTATAGCATCAGTACAGCAGACATAAACACATATGCCTCTTCTTTCTGGAAAAAAGAAAAAAAGAAAGAAAAAAAGAAAAAAGAATGTAAGATTTCCGGACAGACGCCGGGTTCCTTTCTATGCAAATCAAGGTTTAACAGAATAGCACTGGTGAAAGAATACACTTTTGGACTGATTCTGTCTCACTAATAGCAGATCTCTCCCTCTGAAGTACCTGCCTCAAAAGGACAGAGAAAGGATGGAGTGCTGCCTGATGACACCAAATAAATAACTGCAATTAAATAAATAACCTCTTAACATCAGAACTTGTTGCAGTCGCCTCACTGTGAGATGAAATGCCAAAAAAAAAAAAAGAAATTAAAGCTTAAAATGTGGGGATTTTCAATCATTTTGCATTTGGCAGTACTCAGAACATGAGAATATTTTAAGATAGCCGCAAACACATGCTTAAGATTCACCTCCTGATTTATGACCTATCCAGCTAGCTGCGCTGGACTGGCCATGCCTGTCAATGCATTTTCTCATCCAGCGTATACTTAAGGAGATGTGAAGGCACCCTCAGCCACCATCCATTCCTCACCTTCTGCCACAGGCTCAATTATTCGTATCTTCCAGGATAACCTTATACTTTTGCCCTGTGCTTCTCTCCCATCCATTCAATACAAGAAACATTTTCCCCTCGCACCTGCTTTCCCTTATTTGGAAACGGTGTGTTTAATCTTTCTGTTTTAACTGTCAGGATGTTATGTGTTGCAGGCAATGCTATGCGCTCAAATCTGAGAAGTAGGCATTGGAATGGAATAGCAAGAATCACGCACTATGACATAACTGGTTTTCTATCCCTAAAACTGCACTGCTAATATATACCTTAATAAAAGTTACGCAATTTAAACACATTTTCCCACAACAGCTTTCAAGCACACATATCCAAGCATCCCAAAAGACCCCCACCCGCTATTTAAAAGACAAAACCCAGGAGCTACATAAAATGTTTGTTAAGCAGCCTGCAGAACGAAGAGAAAATAAACAGGTCAGGTTTACCCTTCTTACGTCTCCCTTCCAATTTCCCCCCGCTAACTTTGTAATTGACTCTCTTCAACATTTGCAGATGATGTCATGCTTAGCCGTGCATATTTTTACATAAGTGAGCAAGGGGAAAAAAAAAAAAAAACTACCACTGAGCAAGTAGCGAAATGTTGAAAAGGAAATCATTCAGAAGTCTTAAATTTAAATAAAGAAGAAAAAGAAACGGTCAGGCGAAAGCATGGGAGGACGAAACACCGAACGTCAAAGGCAGAAATGTCTCGGTGCGAACGCTCAGGATGCGATTCCTCCCACCGGTCTCCGCGCACTCGGACGGACTGACGCGGCACTTAGCGAAATTCCGCACTTTTCCAGGAGGAAGGGCAGCCCGAGCGCTCCGTCCCCGCCCGGCAGCCCCGGTTCGTGCCGCAGGAGGCAGCGCGGCAGCGCGGGTCGGCTCGGGGCTGCCCCTCCGCGAGGTGAGCGACTTTCAATGACCGCCGCGCGGCTTCGCCCTCCTCCCGCCGGCACGGACAGCACAAAAGGCGTAACCGCGACCCGCTCCCCTCCCCGGCCGCCAGGAAGGCAGGGAGCCCCGCGGTGCCGGCAGCGCTCACCGTGCGAGATGCTGTGGAGCAAGGCGACGGCCAACATCCACATGCCCCCGCCGCTCCCCCTCGCCCGCCGCGCCCACGGCCGGGCCGGAGCCGCCAGGCAGCGCGCACCGGGTCCGGCCGCCTGGGCCGGGGGCTGCTGGCAGCCTGCGGGGCCGCCGGTCCGCGCAGCGAGCGCTCAGCCCCGCCTGCAGCCCCGCGGCTCCGCCGACGCTCGCCGCCCGGCTCTCGGGCGGGGGAAGAGGCGGCCGGCGGCGGGGGCGGGCGGCGGGGGCGCGGCGCCCAGGTGCGTCCTCGGCGCGGGGAGACGCCCGCGGGGCCGCGCAGGCAGGGCCACAGGTGAGCGGCTCCTCCGGCGCCGGCACGGGAGCATCCCCGGCGGCGGCCGGCCCCGAGCCCCCAGCCCCGAGCCCGCGGCCGGCCGGCTCCTCACGCGGCGCCCGTCGGCCCGGCGGCAGGCGGCCGGGCGGCCGGGCACATCGCTCCTCTGCTCTGCTTTGCTCTGCTCTCCTCGGCTGTGCTCTCCTCTCCTCTGCTGAGCTCTCCTCGCTGCTAAGCTCCCCTGCTCCCCTTCAGTGGCAAAGCCAGCCCCGCTCGCTCCCTGCCCTCTGCAGTCTTAAAGCAGCACCAAGTCTCCGCGGTGGAAAAAAAAAAACCAAGACCAATAGAAGAACGCAGCGGAAGATCCTGCCTTTCAATAGTTGGCTGAACTGCGGCCGTTTGGCATCAGCTGAGTTGTATGTGACTAATGTGGTGACACGTCGGGTGGGGGGACCGGAGGAGGGGGCCCTTCTGGAAGGTCACAGCCCTGACAGGCGAACACAGCCGGGGATGGACTGGGAGTCTGCAAAACCGAAAGGGGGAAAAACATCGACATTGCCCACTGCTTACACAGCTCCTGATACAGTTCAGCCA